AAAAGAGCAAAGGTCAGACTATAAGGGGGTGGCAGGCCGGTGGGGTGAGGACTGAGGTGAGTGAAAAAGGAATGTTTTGATATAGTCCACATCCATTCATATGCTCAGGGCTGGTGGTGCAAAGAAAAAAAACTCTGCCTTCCTGAAGCTGGCACTGCAGAGGGAGGAGACGATGGTAAATTATGTGGCTGAGTCCCTGTGCCGCCTGCTCGGAGCCCTCTGAGTGCATGGATGTGTCTGTCCTCCAGCCACCTCATAAACCATGTCCTACTCCTACCCCCACTTGGCGAGGGGCCAAGTTCTCCAGGCAGGAAGTGGGCAGGCAGGGCAGTCACCTTGGCAGCTGGACCCTAAAGAGCACTCTTGCCCACTAGTCTACTAACAACTAAGAGGGTTCTGGTTCCAGACGGTGACGTAGGAGGGTTTTGAACTCACCTCCTCCTAAGGTCACACCAAATCTATAGCTACATACAGAACAATGTCCTCTGAAAGAAACTCAAAAACGAGATGAGCAACACACCTACACTGGGCAGATGAGAAAACCACATGGAAACAGGAGAGGCTGAGACACAGGCACCATGACACCCACAGTCACCCACAGTCAGGAGGGAGCGCACAACGCGGGGCTGCTTCCTGAGAACCCCACATCTGGCACCCCAACTTTAAAAACCTGCACCTGAGAGACAAGCCCCCAAGTCTTCCAGCTTTAAAAGCCAACAGGGCTTGTATCCATGAGACCCACTGGCTAGAGCAAACTGAGAAACAGTTTTTATTTTTGTTTTGTTTTTGTTTTTCAGTCTGACCACATTTTTAATTTGAAAGGTAAAAAACCGTAACACTATAGAAAATTAATAGTTTTTAATGATCTCTCTTAACTTTCAAATATACAATGTAGTATTATTAACGATATAGTCACCATGCTGCGCTTATAACTGGATTTTTGTATATTTTGGCCGCCGTCACCCATTTGGTTCACCTAAGAAGCAGTTCTTAAAGGGCTCACAGACTCACCTGGCTACCTACCAGCAGAGAGGCAGCCAACTGAAAAGCTTCCAGTCTTTCTGCGAAAGACGCCTATTGGCTTATCTTAACGCTTTGGCATGAGGGGCAGGCTTCTAACTTAACAACCTCTACTGAAATGCTCTCCAAAGCCCACAGAGCCCAGTGGGAGGCCTCTTCACACTCTGCCCTGATCCAGTTGAGTGTTTCCCAGAAAGGACCCTGTGTACATGTCTGGTGCCCAGTGTTTGTGGCTGTGCCAGACCCCTTGGTAGCCTGGCCCTAGTGGCTAGCAGGGCTTGTGTTCACAGAGCTTCTGTTCTTATGTTAACTGGACAGTAGCAAACAAAGAAACAGCTCTTAACTGGCTATTACGCCAGGGTTCAGAGCAGAGGGAGCAGACAGACATGCCCACCTCCCAGTCTTCCCCTGAAAAAGGAATATTCACATGCTTTTTAAAAAAATTCTTTGTTGAAAGTATTACATATGTGCCCCTTTTCTCCCATTAACCTCTCACATACTTTAAAAGCTGCTGCCCAAGGGTCTGGTTTTCAGTCAGCTTGCATCTAGGTGCTGACTGAAATCCTCCCCTGTGGGACACTGACAGGTCCGGTACACCCTCAACTACTGGGAGCCACTAAGAGTAAAGTAGGCTGTTTGGGCAATCAAAAAGGTTTGAGAAACAACCAAGACATAAGGAGGGGTTGAACAGTAAGGCTCATCTCCTATAGGAGGCAATCCTGCACAACTGTGAGATGTGGCTGTTTTATTTAATGCGTGAAGACCAACACAGAGTCGGGAAGGGAAGGGAAGGGAAGGGAAGGGAA